TGACGATGGTTGGGGCAATGATGATGCACGAGTTGTTTGTAGGATGCTAGGTCGCAGGTAGATATGTTTAATATAGATATATTTCTTAGAGCTTCTCTGGTACTTGATGAGGTGTTTATATGAGTGAACAATTCTCGAAATGGACATAAAGCATCAATTAAACTTGCATAGTCTGATTCATCCAAAGTGTCGAACCTGATCCTGTGTTTCTTTAATTAATGTTTTCATAGCCAGTATTAGCATTATCACTAAGTACATGTTTACAGAAAAACCCTGTTGACACTTTTAGTTCTTTATAAAATTTTGATAAGTATTTACCGGTTATATGTACAAAAATACCAAATACTGATCAAACTTGGAAAGATTGTGTAATCTATCCTCTTTCAACAAATGCTATGGAATCAAATGGAAATAAAACAGTAGAGGTATATAAAAAACAAATTGACTGTAAGTTTATATATTCAATTGTCATTCAGATTTCATTTTACCCACCTTTAGGAATGCGTGCGTACCATCGGCAGAATGTTGTTTGATTTATATTCAGTCAGTAAACGATGTCGACAGCCTAAGCCAAGTGCTTTGTAAAGTTTCTTGGTTAATATATAGTTTAGAATTAAAAGCATGGATATGACCAAATATGTTTTATAATGAGCAAGATAAACACGGACAGGACAAAGACAGGACAAAGACAAATACGTCTAGATCTAGATTTCAATATAATATTATATATATATATATATATATATATATATATATATATATATATATATATATATATATATATATATATATATATATATAGAAAGCACAAAGAAATTCACTTTTACATGTAAAAGTGAATTTCTTTGTGCTTTCTATATTAATATTTTTTCACTTAGGGCAGTTATATTAGTTTAAGAGTTGTTGTAAATTGTGCTTTCTATATATATATATATATATATATATATATATATATATATATATATATATATATATATATATATATATATATATATATATATATGTATGTATATATAAAGATTCTTTAATGATGTCCAGCGGTATGATTAAAGAATTCAAAAAGATATTTGTTAGAAAATATATATATATTTTTTGAAATTCAAAAATATCCAGGAATTCAAAACATTTTTTATTTTAGCGGGGGAACAGCAGTTGGCTCAGCACAATATGGTGCAGGAAGTGGTCAGATTTGGCTTGATGACGTCAATTGTAGTGGAACAGAATCGTCTCTGATGGAATGTTCTAAACCACCATTTGGTTCCCATAATTGTGGGCATAGTGAAGATGCGGGGGTATCGTGTAATTAACTTCTAATGTCAGATTCTTATACCTCCTAGTGGTGTACGTATCATGGATTTTATAATTCTTATGTGAGTGCACTTGTGAAATGAATTTAATAATAAATGTATTACTTCAAGCTTTTTGTCTTTCTTTCTCATTTTTTGGTTCATTTGAAAAAAAAAGAACATAATGTCGTGACAAAAAACTTACTTGTTATTGTGTATGGGAATATCGTGTAAGATTTATCATTACTGCAATCAAAAATCTTTCAGATATATTTGTCATTAACAATTGATACAAACCATGGAAACATTTTCCTTTAAAACACTTTGTGCATATGAGAAGACTTTTTTGCAGAGAAGCTAAGTTTATTGTGAAGTTGTGAATTTGGGATTTTACCAGGTTTACGTTACTGAAACAAATTACCAAATAATGTCCAATTACTTGTATTATTTATCTGTTTTCGACCTCCTTATTCTTCACTTGTTAATCTTAAGTAGTACTCTTAAAATTCATCATGTACACAAATTTACTTCTCCATTGAATGCATTAGAAACTATCGAAAAACCCAAACTACATGTATTGGTATCTGTTTTCGTTTGTCGTCGTACGTCGGTCGAAAACTTTTGAACATTTTTAGCTTCTTCACTTGAACGACGGAATAAAGTTCAACCAAATTTGGTATACAGCATGTATGGGTAAAGGGGAACCCATAATTGTGAATTTCATGGTCCCTGCACACATGGGGCCTGAGGGGTGGGGCAAAAACCACTAAAATAAATGCAATCTTTAAAAATGTTCTTCTTTACTCCTAAACATCAAGCAGTCATACTAGTACTTTGAATGATTGAAATATAATCAGCATAAAGTCCTTTACAAAAATTTCAAATTCATGGCCCCTGAGTCAGTGGTTCTGGTGTTAGGGTGGGGCTATATAGATAATATAGTAAAAATGCATCATTTATTTGAATCTCCTCTGCTACCGGGTATTAAACAAACTAACCAAGTACATAGTTATGATGACCAAGAGTGCCTCTTCGAAAATTGTTAATATCATTGCCCCTGTGTCGTTGTCGTTGTTGTAAACTTTTCCACATTTTCATCATCTTCTCAAGAACCATTGGGCCAATTTCAACCAAACTTGCTACAAAGTATCCTTGGGTAAAGGGGATTCAAGTTTGTTCAAATGAAGGGTCATGCCCTTTTCCAAGGGGAGATAATAATGAATGAGAGAAAAATTTATGGCATTTTTAAAAAGTCTTCTTCTCCAGAACCACTCGGCCAGGAAAGATGAAACTCATGTGGAATCATCTTCAGGTAGTGTAGATTAAGTTTGTTCAAATCATGACCCCCGGGGATAGGGGGGGGGGCAAAATGGCCGATCAAAATTTTACATAGGAATATATAGGACAAATCTTTAAATATCTTCTTCTCAAGAATCACCAGGCCAGGATTTTATTTTGTTCAAATCATGACCCCCTGGGGTGTTAAAGTTCAAGCCTCCCCAGTAAACTTTCAGTTCTGATCTGATATGTGCTTTTTCCAATTGCTCGGGTGAGCGATGTGGCCCCTGTGCCTCTTTTTGTTTTAGGGCGCGGCTCTATTTGATTATATAGTGAAACTACATAAATTCTTCTCTGCTCCTCGATATTAAATAAACTAACTTAATATATACTTATAATGAGCCAGAGTGCCAGGGGTTCTTAGGTGCTAGGGTAGGGCTATATAGATTATACAGCTTTATATAAACGTGTTTCCAGTAACAATGCGTCTTATTTTAAACCTATGAAAAAATAAATTAAAATCCATTGAATATTATTTAGATAAAATAAAATCCATTGCATGTATGTGATATAAAATTGTTAAAGATTTTAAAATGTGCGTCATTCTTTATGGTCGAGGTCAAAATGTTAAAATTATATATACCCACTGGAATGTCTTGTCACAGTGTATAAAGAAATAAAGTATTAAAGACCTAGCACCAACTTGTCAAAAGTTATGATCAAGTTTAAAGTGTGGTATTTTAAATTTGTAAAGTTAGTCAAACTGCACGGTAAAGCTAGGTCACGAGGTTAAATTTGTTGGTACCCACACGAAGGTCTTTTTCAATGGATTACTCATGTGAAATATGAAAGTCATAGCCCCATCCACTCTAAAGTTTTCAGCAAGGATAACACCTTTGCAGACAAACAGACAAACAGACAGACAGGCAGCTAGGCAGGCATAAATACAGACGGACAGGGCAAAAACCTATTTACATGTACCTCCCAAAACTTTGATTACGGGATCATGACAATAAAGTGACTTTACAGATCATTCAAACTTTCAAAGGAGAAAATAAGATTCTTAATTTGAACCAAAATGCAATGATCTCAAATCAAAACGCCGCGTCAATTATTTGAAATAATAACCATATTAGTTAAAACATTATCCTGCGAGCAACATTTATCGATTAATATTTTGTTTAAAAGCGAACAAAATTTTCCCCCACACTATTGTTGTTCGGATATCTGCGTTTTATCATTCTGAACAATAAAAAAGATGTTTCGGAGTTTTGTAGAACTGCTATGTGCATTAATTGTTCTACGTACGACCTCCACGTTTGAGTTGTTCGAAAGTGAAAGGTTCAATAATGGTAAGTGTCAGTTTTTATTTTTCAATAAAGCAATTCGACGCATTATCTTATGGTCTGATAAAATATTAATAATGTTTCTTCAGTTTGTCCATATACCTCTTGTCTTATACCTCTATATTATAGTGGGAAAAAGTTTAACCTTAAAATTATTGTTTTTCACATTAAATTTATAGAGAACTGCTATTTATGTCGACCAGTCAATTAATTATTATGCAAAACCATATATATATGTGATTTGAAATTTAACGCATAATAAAAAAAATTATTCAGTGTAAGTGTTAAATAATCCCCTGCGAGGTGAAATTCATAATTTCAGGAACTTTTATGAATCGTTCATGAACATTCATGATGTGTTCATGAACGGTTCATGACTGGTTCATAAAGATGGTTCATGAACTTTATTCATGAATATATTCATAAAATGTAGTTCATGAACAAATGATGAATTTATATGAATATTGGTAATTTTCATTTTAAAGACAGAAAAAATGTAGAGTTCAAGGTATTATGAATGTTCATGAATTTTCATGAAGACTAAAATAATTGACAAAAATGATTGACAGAAAACACTCATTACTCTCATAATGCAACTTTTGCATGCAGATGCAATTGTTGAACAAGCCTCTGGCATAATTTATATTTAATAACATTCTTTCACCAACTATCTGAAAAAATAAATCATGAAATCTCTAAACATTTTGTGTTTTTATTTGATTTTAATCAAACAAACACTGCATCACCATTGACAGCATTTTTTTTCAAATTGATTATTTATGTTTCTTCATAATTTAAATTAAACAGTTATATTCATCATAATGTGCTTTAAATAATGTCGTTTTTCATCACACAACTTTGTTTGACCGAATTTTCTCTAACATCAAATTTTTAAACAAGTTGCAAAATAAAAAATTCACAGTTTCTTTTACAATGTTTTTTTTAGACAAATATAATAGCATATACCACTCAGATGTACAATATAAGCACACTTTTTTAAATGTATGTATTCTCAATGAAACTGCAAAGTATTTTACATTAAAGGTTATTGACAGAAATATCCAAGAAAAAAATAAGATTACTGGGGGGATTGCCTTGGTTAAATTAGTGATAGTCAAATTATGATATACATGTATGTAGTAAACTAAAGTATGCATTTTCTTTTAAATAAGAGGTTAGATTCATTAAATGACATTGGCCAAGGATTGGGAGAGGTCATTGAAACCTCAACAGTATATACATTTACAATAAAGTGGCAGTAGCCCATGTACATTTACTGTACAAAGTTAGTGACTAGAGTGACAAACGCATGTATTAAATGCAAAAATATACGTAGTACACAACTACATTGATACAAAGATCCCATAAAATGAACATTTGCTATTTTCCACCAATGTACGTGCCAAAGATCCCAATTATGGAAGATACAAAACTTCTGACATGTTGCTAGAATCACATCCTCAGATATCCCATGAAATTTGCAATAGAGGGTTGACAGATAATTGGCGTCACCAACGGATTCACTTTTAGTATGAAAACTCAGCAAGTTCGATGTTGATCATTCCACCAGACACTTCAAACTTTCTTGCACAATTTCTGAAAGAGGAGATGACCATTTAAGATGCATCATTATTGATATCCGTAGAAATATATGACAAATATTAAACTAAAGCTCTACAAAACAATTGTTCTTTTTTACCTGGCAGATCAGTTTACTGTAGAATATGAATTCACTATCTTGAAATTTTTTGTTCAAATTAGGATTAATTCTGATAAATGTAAAAATGTGAAAAGTTTATAGACAACAGACAAACACAAGACTGTGACACTGATCAAAAAACTCACTTAGGCCTTAAAATGGCTCAGGTGAGCTTAAATGAAAAGGCTAGAGCTGAAGCTCAATGCCTGACTAACATTGAAAAAAATTAATTTTAATTCATGTGATTTTTTTGATTAAGAAAATAATGAAGAAATATTACCATTTTTTTATACAGTTCTTGTCCTAAATCTTGTGAGCATCCGGACTCCTGTAAAATGCATGTATACTTCATAGAAGATGATATCTTTGATTATATTTGATCTAAAATAATTATACATACCCATGCAGTTAGCATGTTTAGATTACCTTTCAGAATTCATTGTTAAAATAAGAAGGATATGGAAATTAGGCATGTTAAGAATATAAATCTTTAAATGTTGTTTTTAATACTTGGCATAGTTAATTGCACTATTTTTTTTAATCTTGTGCTTAAAGACATAGATTAATAAAATCAAAGTTAGTTTCTTTGTTTTGAATGATAATTTGAGCTGGTTCTCACCATATTCACAAGCCTAGTGACTGATTGGTTAAGCATCTACATGTATATGCACTTTATAAAAGGCCAGGGCTGTGAAAATCATCTCAGGCAATGCAGCAACTATTAAAACAATCGAAACATACAAGATAAGAGCTGAAAAATGGTCATGAACATGCATTACAAAATATATAATTAATTACATGTACATCATACTCTGTAAATGTTATCTTGAACAAAGGAAGGTACAGGTAAAATTCTTGACATCAGTTCGATTCCAAGCAAGGAAATTCGGGTTAAAATCAATGATCTTAATGATATGTATAGATTTGTTAAATAATAATTACAGAAATAGTGCTTGTCCTAACGATTTCATCGTCGGGCATTTTATGTATGGTACCCGGATTAGGCCCTAATCAAAAGTAGCAGAAACATTCTTCGTTCGAGACGAGGACACATAAAATATTGTACAATATTGTACCTACCGGTCTTAAAAATGTCGTCATCTTCTTCCATCCCAAGCTGACCATGATCCCCCTGTTCGTGGCACTCGTTCCAACTTTCCTTCTGTGGAACATCAACATGATCATGATGAACTTGGCATTCGATATTTTTGAATTTCGGTGTTGTTAAAATTAATTGTTCATCGAGCCCGACTTCGATCCCGATGTTATTGTAATCTTAGTCCAATTTAATTGATGACGTAAAAAGTTCGAATTCTTCATTGATAAAACTTATTTTGATATAAAAAAAATTGTATTTTTCAGTGAAAAATTATCAGATAGTATTATTTTGTTATTTTTTTTTTAAACAGAAATCTCGGAAATTCGAAACTAACGTATTTCTTAGCTCTACCGTACATTTTTGAAAAGGCGCAAACTTGAAAACGCGCGAGACGTTGGAAGTGGGAAATTGGAGAGTGGAAGGATCGGTATTTGTGATCTATAATTTGCATAGTCACTGATTTTTGTCAACTTTTAAAGAAAATAACAGAATATGAAGAAGGAAGACTATATACATGTATAGGATTGATCTACTTCATAACTGGTGAGTGACAAAAATGGAGGCAATCAATGAGTCAGAAAACTGTCTGTAAATGTTACTGTCTATTTGTAAAATAAATTAATACGTCTTTTGTTTTAAATGAAAGATTTGTCTAACTTTGCTTTGAGTTTGGATCCAACCATATAACATACATTAATTATAGACTGACTGAGACTCGAAACATCCATAGGCCTGATTGATCTACAAAATGGCGGTCCAAGAAAATAGGCTTAAATTCCATTCAGAATGTTTTAATTTGGAAGTGCCTCTGATGCAAAATTAAATGAAACTAAAATGCAAGAAAATACACAAAAAAGTCTTATGTTTTACAATCATGGGTAATTTCAGAAAATCTTTCTTTTTGAAGGAAAAAGAGAAGCAGTTCACAAATGTTGATGAGCAGAAGACAAGAAACTGGCTGCAAAAAAAATCTGAGCTCTTGAAAAAGAAAGAAAAAAAGAATTGAAAATATGAATGATATTCAATCAAAGGATCCAAATGATGAAATTCTGGAAATTCCACAAGGACAGACAATAAGGATTTTTGAATTGACTATCTCTGCTCGAACTGCTTGAAAGCACTTAAAACTGTTACCCTGGTGCTGAACAAACTTTCTCCTAGACTGGAATTAAAAACTGTTCAATGTCTGGCATTAAAACACACTTTGAAACATGCTGAGGAAGGACCCCCCTCTCCTCTTGACCAAGTAAGGTTAAACATTCTGCCAAGAGTTGTGTTTGAATTGAAATTTTTTATACTTTTACCAGGAATGAACTACATTACTCATTTACTATGGTTTAATATGTCAGAACTGTTTATTTTAAGTTTTTTAACAAAGATTTTGTTGCCATGGTTGGAAAACAAACAACATTTCTGTGAAATCTCTCAAGATGCTGTATTATAAAACATCTACTGTTACTTTTTTAGCATGACTTCATGCATTTTCATGAATAAACATGAATAATAACATTGCATTTTTTGTTTACAAATAAGCAAGAATATTCATGAATTTTAATGGTTCATGAATTTTATTCATTCATGAACATTCCTGAAAAATTCATCAAATTATTCATGAACAGTTCATGAAGATCCAATGAACTTATTATTGGACATTCTTGAAATGATGAATCTTCATGAATATGATTTTCATGAATTATTCATGAAAAAAATATTCATGAATATTCATCAATTTTCTTTCATGAATAAAAATTCATGATTTGAAAATGTTCAATAATAAGTTCATAGGATCTTCATGAATATTTCATGAACATTTCATGAACAAAATTCATGAAAAATTCAAGGAAATTCATGAATTATTCATGATCGTCTCGCAGGGGATTAGCCCCCCTACTTAGTTGTAGGGGGTTCAGGTAAAAATTATCGATGAGATATATTCAAATAAATATATTCTAGCACGAACATGGACACATTAAGAAATATAAAAAACTTTACTTGGTGAAAAAATTCCAAGTAGAACAGAAGTTATGAAATTATCAATGTTGTGAGTACCCCTGCGAGGTGAAATTCATAATTTCAGGAACTTTTATGAATCGTTCATGAACATTCATGATGTGTTCATGAACGGTTCATGACCGGTTCATAAAGATGGTTCATGAACTTTATTCATGAATATATTCATAAAATGTAGTTCATGAACAAATGATGAATTTATATGAATAATGGTAATTTTCATTTTAAAGACAGAAAAAATGTAGAGTTCAAGGTATTATGAATGTTCATGAATTTTCATGAAGACTAAAATAATTGACAAAAATGATTGACAGAAAACACTCATTACTCTCATAATGCAACTTTTGCATGCAGATGCAACTGTTGAACAAGCCTCTGGCATAATTTATATTTAATACCATTCTTTCACCAACTATCTGAAAAAATAAATCATGAAATCTCTTAACATTTCGTGTTTTTATTTCATTTTAATCAAACAAACACTGCATCACCATTGACAGCATTTTCTTTTTAAAATTGATTATTTATGTTTCTTCATAATTTAAATTAAACAGTTATAATCATCATACTTTAAATAATGTCGTTTTTCATCACACAACTTTGTTCGACCAAATTTTCTCTAACATCAAATTTTAAACAAGTTGCAAAATAAAAAATTAACAGTTTCTTTTACAATGTTTTTTGAGACAAATATAATAGCATATACCACTCAGATGTACAATATAAGCACACTTTTTTAAATGTATGTATTCTCAATGAAACTTCAAAGTATTTTACATCAAAGGTTATTAACAGAAATATCCAAGAAAAAATAAGATTACTGGGGGATTGCCTTGGTTAAATTAGTGATAATCAAGTTATGATATACATGTATGTAGTAAACTAAATTATGAATTTTTTTTTAAATAAGAGGTTAGATTCATTAAATGACATTGGCCAAGGATTGGGAGAGGTCATTGAAACCTCAACAGTATATACATTTACAATAAAGTGCCAGTAGCCCATGTACATTTACTGTACAAAGTTAGTGACTAGAGTGACAAACACATGTATTAAATGCAAAAATATATGTAGTACACAACTACATTGATACAAAGATCCCATAAAATGAACATTTGCTATTTTCAACCAATGTATGTGCCAAAGATCTCAATTATGGAAGATGCAAAACTTCTGACATGTTGCTAGAATCACATCCTCAGATATCCCATGAAATTTGCAATAGAGGGTTGACAGGTAATTGGCGTCACCAACGGATTCACTTTTAGTACGAAAACTCAGCAAGTTCGATGTTGATCATTCCAACAGACACTTCAAACTTTCCTTGCACAATTTCTGAAAGAGGAGATGACCATTTAAGATGTATCATTATTGATATCCGTATAAATATATGACAAATAATGAACTAAAGCTCTACAAAACAATTGTTCTTTTCTACCGGGCAGATCAGTTTACTGTAGAATATGAATTCACTATCTTGCAATTTTTTGTTCAAATTAGGATTAATTCTGATAAATGTAAAAATGTGAAAAGTTTATAGACAACAGACAAACACAAGACTGTGACACTGATCAAAAAACTCACTTAGGCCTTAAAATGGCTCAGGTGAGCTTAAATGAAAAGGCTAGAGCTGAAGCTCAATGCCTGACTAACATTGAAAAAAATTAATTTTAATTCATGTGATTTTATTGATTAAGAAAATAATGAAGAAATCTTACCATTTTTTTTATACAGCTCTTGTCCTAAATCTTGTGAGCATCAGGATTCCTGTAAAATGCATGTATACTTCATAGAAGATGATATCTTTGATTATATTTGATCTAAAATAATTATACATACCAATGCAGTTAGCATGTTTAGATTACCTTTTAGAATTCATGTTAAAAATAATAAGGATATGGAAATTAGGCATGTTAAGAATATAAATCTTTAAATGTTGTTTACTTGGCATAGTTGCACTATTTTTTTTTAATCTTATGCTTAAAGACATAGATTAATAAAATCAAAGTTAGTTTCTTTGTTTTGAATGATAATTTGAGCTAGTTCTCACCATATTCACAAGCCTAGTGACTGATTGGTTAAGCATCTACATGTATATGCACTTTATCAAAGGCCAGGGCTGTGAAAATCATCTCAGGCAATGCAGCAACTATTAAAACAATCGAAACATACAAGATAAGAGCTGAAAAATGGTCATGAACATGCATTACAAAATAGTCCAATCCACACTTTTCAAATGTTATGTCCCTTGGCCGCCATCTTAGGGGATAAACCCATACAATCCACACAATAGCCTTTGTAGTTTTCAGGTTTGTAACTTCGTCATTTGACTTTAAAAAGGCTCTGCCTTTTGTGTACTGATTGCCCCAAAATGGGGCTATCCACACATTGAAGGAAAGAAAATTAAACACAATGGATTTATCACAGCACGCCCAAATATTTGGTAGCATAAAGAGGAGAAATGACGTTTCTTTCCCTTTTGACCTTTTGGTTGACCCCGCAAAGGGAAACAACTTTTGCAAAGTGTGGATTGGACTATATATAATTAATTACATGTACATCATACTCTGTAAATGTTATCTTGAACAAAGGAAGGTACAGGTAAAATTCTTGACATCAGTTCGATTTCCAAGCAAGAAAATTCGGGTTAAATTCGGGTTAAAATCAATGATCTTAATGATATGTATAGATTTGTTAAATAATTATTACAGAAATAGTGCTTGTCCTAACGATTTCACCGTCGGGCATTTTATGCATTTTATCAAAAGTAGCAGAAACATTCTTCGTTCGAGGACACATAAAATACTGTACAATATTGTACCTACCGGTCTTAAAAATATCGTCATCTTCTTCCATCCCAAGCTGACCATGATCCCCCTGTTCGTGGCACTCGTTCCAACTTTCCTTCTGTGGAACATCAACATGATGAACACGGCATTCGATATTTTTGAATTTCGGTGTTGTTAAAATTAATTGTTCATTGAGCCCGACTTCGATCCCGATGTTATTGTAATCTTAGTCCAATTTAATTGATGACGTAAAAAGTTCGAATTCTTCATTGATAAAACTTATTTTGATATAAAAAAAAAAGTATTTTCAGTGAAAAATTATTCAGATAGTATTTTAAATTTTTTTAAACAGAAATCTTGGAAATTCGAAACTAACGTATTTCTTAGCTCTACCTTACATTTTTGAAAAGGCGCAAACTTGAAAACGCGCGAGACGTTGGAAGTGGGAATTTGGAGAGTGGAAGGATCGGTATTTGTGAT